GATTTTGGCTCACCAACCATCAGTTCAAAAAAACCCGGAAGACTCAAGGTATCGCTGAAGATTTTCAAGAAGTAAAATTACAACTAAAGTTCTCGACAGTATGGCCCTCGTTTTCAGATTCCCAACCTATCATCCAACTTGGTAAGCTTCTCGAAGTTATTTGCGTTCTCTACAAAGAGTCAATTACGACTTTGAATAATTATTTTCTGTATAAAATCTCAACTTTTAATATAACAAAATACTCTTTCGCCTGCATGCTTCAATTGATTCTTACTGATGGTGTACTACAATTTTTTTGGTTTTTAAAATTCGCTGTCGTCCCCATGATCAGGCGGGAATATCATGTTTTGTAATCTTCTGTTACTTTCTTGTTATATTTTAGGTTCATTTTCCCTTTTAAGATATTCAGTCTTACATGCGTACATAATTGATCAATGCATATAAGCAATAGGACGGCCATAGAGTATCAAAAGCCTATTCTGGAGACTCGATCAGCAATAATTTCAGGCGGTTCGAAAACATTTGCAGATATACATATCCAGGCAGACATTAAAGATTTTTTACTTGAGATTTTTTTTCCTGTGGATTGGAGTTTCAGCATTCAAATTATATTATATATATGAAAGGTAATTTGTTCATAGTTTGAATTAACACATCTGTATATTTCTATACGGAACATTCACTAAAAATATACACTGCTAGCACTGAGTAATCAGCTGCAAATGCAAAATCAAGACATCGATGTGTGTATTAGACAGCTCAGTCTCAAAATCACGCAAAATAACAATTTCCTTTTGTTTCACTTTCAGCTACAGCAGTTACTACAATCAAACCGTCCCAGGTTATGGGCTTTTGGGTGATTTATGGAGAGACATAGCTCTCTCCTTTGGGGATCAAGGGCGAGACATATGCTGTCAGCAAAGGAAACACTCCGGCCCAGTCACAATCGCTTCACTGCCACTCAACCAGTACAAACCAGAAGAACTTTCACAGGATGTTGATGGAGAAAATATAACCTTACACGGCCAGCATCGATCCGAAGGAGAAGATGGATTTGAGAATAGTGAGTTCAAGAAAATCATTAAGCTCCCGGAAGACGCAGATCCCACAACAGTGACGTCACGTGTATCTAAAGATGACAACTTTCTTGTTGTCGAAGGCATCAAGCGTGTTCAAGAGAAAACAAAAACAGACGATGACAAGTTCGTAGTAAGATTGAATCTGCGTGGATTCAAACCAGAAGAAATCAAGGTCCAACTTCGTGGACATGAGCTCACGGTCACAGGAAAACACAGAGCGGAAGAAGACGGTTCATATTTGTCACGTTTTGTTGCCTGACGACGCAGAACTAAGTTCAGTGACGTCACGCTTGTCCAAAGAAGGCTTGCTAACCATAGAAGTGGCACGTGACCCAGCTCTGTTACCAAGTGAGAGAAACGTGGAACTTTCCATGGAAGTTGATCATAAGCCACATCCTGAAGAAGAAGAGCAACAACAACAAGGAGCAAGCGGTAACAGAGAAGATTAGAATAAAAGCTTAATCAACTACGTTTACAGATTGTAAGGAATCACTCGCGATCGTATAGAACAGTTTGTTAATTTTTTGTTACATTAATTTCTGATTAAATTTTCTCGAGAAGCTATGCAAGATTTCAGCATAGCATTAAATGCTTGTTAAGTTATCAACACTTGGGGTAACATTTTATCATAAAATAGTAATTTAGAATTTAGTAAAGCATTTTCTTTCTTCAGTTTTTGACTTGATTTTTAATGTAAGCAGACAAACAAATGCGCTAGTATTAGCACTATTTTGCGCTCTTTTTGTAGTCAATCAATTATAGTATCATAAGCTGTTCACACCAGGCTAGGGTTGTCTGGCTATGTGTTAAAGCTATTAACAGATTAAAGCTTTTTTTAGCTGTGCAATTATCGACAATAATTTTTTGAGATCATAACATGTTATAAAATAGTTTGTCCGTAGTTAAAGGTCAATAAAAGTTGGAAAATGAGGAGACTGACTTTGTTTTCACTGTTACCATTCATTCTGACCCTATTCATCACTTTTCCTGTTTCAGAGACGACATCTTAAAACAAAAAGTCATAGAAAAGAAAAAAGTCCAAATAAGAAGGATTGGGGCAGTTGGTTAGTGGACGGCCCAGGTTCTGAGTTTAATAGAACATTTTACGGTTTTTTCAGCTTTTGACAAGGAACAGTAAGGGAAACTCTGTTGACACTACCGGAAAGAAGGCCTTTAAATTGGTAAAACTGCCAAGTTTGAAAGAGGTACGTCTTGAGCGGGAAAAGATATAGTTCCGTAAAGTTCCTACTAAAATTTACAGCTTTTTGCTGGATGGTTCCCCTACCACTATACAAACATCTGTAAAATTTCTCAGTTTTGATGAGGAGCAATATTAATATCTTCGTTAGTTTTCAACAAATCACTTTCAAACCTGGCAATTTTAATATTTTATAGGCGTTCTTTCCAGCGGAGTTGGCGGATTTTCCCTGACTTGCCCATGTCAAACGTAGAAAAAAACCATGGAAAGGTTTATATTCTCCGGTGTTTCCTCAAGATAAAATAAGATTAAATAAGATAAGATAAGAACTTTATTTTAGCACGATAGGAAGATCAGCAGTGCTGGTGGGGTCGTGTATGCAACAATTACAAAAAAGAATAAGGAGGACTGAAAACAAATGTGTAATTAACAATTACAAACTGTTTAAAATATTTGTAACTGATAGTTATAGCTAAAATAGGTTCGAAATTCATTTTATCAGTATCAAAATTTGCAAGACAGCGTTTAAACACTTTCAAGGTTTTATCCCTTGTCTCCTTGTTCGTTAAACCGGTTCCAATGGAGTTTCTTAATAAATTCATTTCTGGTCTTGGAAGAATGATGTTCTCATTTCTTCTGCGGCCTGAATTCCCCTGAAAAAACAAATCTTTACATTCCATTACGGTGTAACCTTTTATACATTTGAAGAGAAACTAAGTTAATCGCACTTTGTACATTGTTTCCAAACTGCCCCATCCAGTTCGCGTTAAGACATCTTCAGCACTTGTGTCCCATGGCAACCCATGCATAAAAAATTCGTCCAGCCCTTGCATGGAGTTTCTCCAGGTTCTTTATGCGCGTCTTGTTGAAAGATCCCCACACTTTCAGGCCGTATGTAGCTGATAACGGTATCACTTTTGTGTAGAAGTCTCCTAATTGCTTGTGAGGGAGCCTATCGCATGCGTCGGAGTAAACTTAACTTGGATGCGAAGGACTTTGCTACATTTGCAGCATGATCTGACCAGGGCAACTTGTTATCAACCTGTTCTCCGACGAGTCTTTCTGAGGTTGTCCACTTTTTGATGTTGTTGCCAGGACGAAGAGCTTGGATAGGGCCAGTAAATGTTGATTTCCGCTGCAGGATCATTGCTTTACATTTTTCTAGGTGTAGTACTAACAAATTTCTGTCGCAACATTCCTGGAGTTCAGCTAGAACATTGTTTAGTGCGTTTGTTAGCAAATCCATAGTTTCTGCGATACAGTATTGTTGTGTCGTCTGCATACAGATACGTTTCCGCAGAGCGTAGTGATTTTGGGAGGTCGTTTGTGAAGAGCGAGAATAACGTGGGTCCGAGGACCGACCCTTGCGGCACTCAGTGAGTTACGATGTATGTATCGGAGACGCATCCGTTAATTCTGACGACTTCTCTTCGTTCTGTGAGGTAGTTCTTTAACCCCAGCCAAATATCTCCTCTGATTCTAATGTCGTTCAGCTTTTGTGGTAATATATTGTGCGACTCTGTGTCGAAAGCTTCTCTCCACCTCTCTTTTAGGTGAATTAAAAGCTGTTCTGTTGACTTTCCTTTCCTATAATCCCGCTGTCTGTTATCAAGTAAATTTTGCGTGACCACGGGATAAGTGATATTACCCGCGACGCAGGATTCCATTAATTTACTTGGTATCCTGAACGTAGATAGTAGTCTGTATCATGTAATGTCTTCCTCTCGTCCTTTTTTGAATGCTGCACTGACTCTAGCTATTTTCCACTGGTCTGCAGGTGGCTTGCAGGTATCTACACTGCGTTTAAGCAAGCTCGTGAGAGATGGGGCAATAGACATACCCGCATACTTTAAATGACGCGCAGATACGTTATCTGGCCCCGCAGCTTTCTTCCCTTTTAACTTACAGATCTTTTCCTAGAGTTTCCATCTGACTAATCGTGATGCTGGTCGTAGTCGGAATGTCTAAATTCTGACGGCTATGAGCGTGTAATGGCTGAATTTCATCCGCGGGGCCAATCAATTTTTCATTAACTGTGCAGAAATAATTGTTTACCATAGTTGCCTTTTCGGTGTCATCTGTTGTAAGGTTCCCATCGTCCTCTTTAATTGGTGAGCTTGTCTGTTTACTTTTCTTGTTCCTGATGTCTTTTTCAGTAGTCTCCAGTAAGCAACAGCAGTGTCTACTTCGTCAAATAAATTGGAGTAGTAATCGGCTTTGGCTTTTTTCATCATTGTTGATACTTTATTTCTTTCTAGGATAATTATGGTTTCGGAGACGTTATCTTATAACCTGAGCATTTAAGCGCTTCAGCATTTTTAACTCTTTCCAACTAAACAAGGAAGAAATTATCAAGCATATAAAGCTGCAAAATTGTTGATTGATAAAAACGTTACGGCTGAGCCCATACATGACCCCATTATACATTCTTCGAAAAATTTCGACACAATTTTTTCTTGATTTCTCCGAAAAATATATTAACAAAAGTAAAACTGAAAAAAAGTATTCACTTCTAGTAGTATACAAAATGTCTTGTCAAGGACCTCAATGAGTCGTAACGAGAAACTACATCTTTCTATTTGAAAATTTTTAGCTACTAGGGGTAATAATGTGAATATAGCAAGGCTGAAATATTTCCTTTTTCACTTTTCTTACGAAACCGAAAACTTGGATTTGCCGAGGCGGCTTACATGAACCCAGACTATTTTCGATAAACGGCTTCAAAATGTTGGTACTGTTACGAAACACTTTGGCCTATTGTAAGTCATGACAAACACACCAACTTTTTTTTTTTACATGATTCATTTTATTTAGAACACTGTTTTTATTATACCTAACCGTAAACTGGAACGCACTAAAGCTGAGAAATGAGACTGATTTAATAGCCTTCAGTATCAAACATTTTAATATTAGGTTAATATTTAGACGTGCATCATTGTTAGATGGATTATTCAGGCGTTTGTATGATTTAAGTAATTTCTGACATTCTTTAATGAAGCGTACGTAAAACAGTACGAACAACTGCTAATAATACAAATTTACACTTAAATTAATTCAAGTTTTCGTTCAGTTCTATGGATTGATCTAGTCACCAGCATGCATTATATGGAAACCTAAACATAGCAAGTGACTCGGGTTAGTAGGTAAAGTTGCAGACGGTTTATTAACAGAGTATACACATTGTGGCTCTTCATCTGTCACTGGTATCTAGAAATATCTAAAGTTCACTATAAAAATATAATATTGAGAAAATTATCAAAGGGATGTAAGTAGCTAAAAAGAGGAAAAGGGACTGGACTGGAAACCACCACGGTGAGCGGGAAAATGAAAAACGGGAACAAAACCTAACTTTAACTTTAGCCCCATCAGTAACTTCGTTAACCACAGATCTTTGTTCTCTTCCATTTCTCCGTTCTCCCTGTGACATCCGTGATTAAAGTAGAAAAATAAAACAGAAATATCTCAGTGCAACAAAAAGGAACGAAATAACAAAACTGCCTAATGTACATTTTTGGCAAAACTAAGAACTTCTCGTTTTTTCTCACTGAAAATTAAAAAAAGAGTAACTTTTTATCCCTGTTAAATTTTGTCAGAATGAATCAGCTCAAGCTAGTCTGACTCTCAAAAAAAAATGCTGACAAATGATTTAATTATAGTAACGATTGATAGTTCGAAAATAACTTTTATCACCTACAAAAGTACAAGGGCTTTTCTCACCGACCAACAGTTCAAACAAAAGTCTCAGAAGAATCAAAGAGATATCTCTGAAGATTTTCAAGAAGTAGAATTGGAACCAAAGTTTCTACGACATGTCTTTCGGATTTCCTACTTTTCATCCAACTAGGTAAGCCTTTCAAAATTGTAAGTTTCCTTCGCTGCAAGTAATTGAGTTATCAGTATCTAGGAGTAATTTTGTTTCCACATCGTTTTTTAGGGTCTAACACAGCTTTTTTTGGTATACAGTATAATGGACTCTCTGAAATTGGTTAAACGGATACAGTGTTTTCTTTAGGTTTGGATATGTTGAAAACAAATTAGTGGGTTATTTTGGTTTATAACCGATCAAGGTAAAACGAAGAATTAGAAGGGAGAGACGGCGAGGGGGGGGGAGTATGGCGCGGAAAATGCAGCGAAGTGCACTAGTGTTCTTCCCTGGTTTGGCCTCAATCCAGCTTTTCAGTGCACAGCTGTTTTATAGAAAGCTAATGACATTCCTCCTTGCAAATTACTTTTCCAAAAATTACTATCCGAAAAAAAGACCACTAGAGAATACCGACCTGCCAGACAAGTAACACCCCGAACCGCTCTGATTAGCTTACTTTTTCTTATGACCTTATCCACACTTGACTGTTTGTACGTTTGTTCTGTTTGTTCCACGTTATGCGCATATCTTTTGGTTAGTTCATTGACATCTTTGAGGGCCACAAGTTTTCAGTTTTTAACTGGCTGTCGTCACGCTCTGTAACGAAAGTTGATTATGATCAGAGATCATGATATTAATTATGGTTATGATTATGATTCGGTCCTAGAAACCCTTACCTTAGCTTACACTAAAAACCTTGCAACTTCGCCCAATTTCTGTCGCTAGGGTCAGGGAAATAAGATCAGCCTGATGAGCTCAGTTAGGCGATTTAGGAACTGGATGCGCGATAAGCCTGAATATCCTCACAGCAGAGTGCCTTAAAGCTTCCTATTCTTTCTCTTCTTTATTTCAGACATTTTCCGGTCCTACTTTATTCGTTAATGCTTAAAGCAAAACAAATTTAACATTACATATGTATCATCACCACTGATTTGCAAACGCGACAAACCCAATGTTCTGTTCTGCCAGCGTCAGACAGACAGGCGTTTAAATTCGGCAATTCAAAATTTCACGGAAACATTTTGATTTACCCTGTAAACAAAATCCGACTTGCAAATTGTTAAGACAACTGAAATGTTTTGGTCCAGTTAGTCTCGCCAACTTCAGGCAAAATAACAATTTTCTTTTGTTTTAATTTCAGCTACAACAGCTTCTTCAATCAAGTTGTCCCAGGTTATGGGTTTTTGCAAGATTTATGGAGGGACACAGCTCTCTTCTGCGAGGAACAGGCTCGGCAGAAGAAACTAACGAAGACATATTCGGGCTGGCATGGTTTTTAATCATCATACAAACATGTTCCAATGCGTCAAGTACCGATTAAAAGAAATATTTTACACTTTAGTTAAAATGTATATCAGATCAGTTATCAGTTTTTATCCAAAGTTCTTTGTCTATATATAGTATAGTTCTTGATATTTTAAGTTTTTGGGATAGTAAACCTTTGGAATATAAGTTAATGAAAGTTATTATAGGTCCGTATATAGTACAAGAACAATAAAATGTTTAAATGAGCAACTAACTGGGTTGTGTTTCCTTTTAATTATCGTTCATTTTGACCACTTTTTACCTCTGGATGATGTAGTCTCAATGAGGGGATAGCCTGTTGGTATTTTTCTATCTAAAGCAGAAGCTTCTTTGGTCTCTTTGACTTGAAATTTTCTGATGCCTTTCCAGAGCAGTTACCCTATTAATAGGGAACTTAAGCAAAGACGTTTTTGAGCGACGCACGTCGACCGGAAGTGAGGTCTTCTCCCTTCTCATATGCCTTGACGCTAACAAATTTGTATTGCTAAGTTTCTCTTCTCTTATAAAGACGATTTACCCACGATTTTCAACAGCACCACTGCCCAATGATGCAAAAAGTCCACTTCCGGTTGACGTCCGTCGCTCAAAAACACTGTTGCTTAAGCTCCCTAATACTGGCTCACGACAACGGCCCATATCCCCAGGGGGTGGGGGGAGGGTATTCCCTATAATGGCATAACACGGGAAAGTACATCCCGAAAGGAGTACTTTCTCAGGCTTCAGGTATACGAAAGAAAGGGTAGGGATTTCACTACTTGTTGAAGCATATGAAAGGGTAGGGAAATCTGTCATTTCGGTTGGTAGAAAGACCCAAAAGAGCTAACAAATGCATTTTATGGCAGTGACAAAGTCGACGAAAGCGTTCTACTTTTGTGATTTATTCATATTTTAAAGACCATGCGTTTACAGCAGTTAAAGTAATAAACAGTAACTACGATTGTAAGTAGGTGAAAGGGGTACCATTTGTCAATAGGAGTTATATAAAAAGGAGAGGGGTCCTTTTCTGTCAAAAATGGTATATAAAATGGTAGGGGATTGGACCTCCGGGTGGAGCCTCTCCGTATAAACCTTTTTGGAGTACTCCTCTCCCCTCTCTCCATATATATCGCAGGCTTGGATTGCACGACATTCATTATCCTAATGGTTAATACCATTTACGATAATCGCGTGATCAAATTATTTTGATTACTGTCTATAGTGTCAACAAAACAACAGTCTTAAAAGATTTCGTCCCCGGTATCTCTGTTTATCCTCGAGTTTAATTATATTACCCGTGTTTCCCTTGTTTGTTTTACCTTTGAAAAGGTATAATATGTTTTAGTAAAATCCAACTAGTGGTCTATTATCAATGCTGCGTTCTGATTGGTTGAGCTGCTACTAGGCTGTATGTTACATCACACTAGTAGGGCAAAGCGCCAGCTTTTTGGCAGCAAAAAAGGCTTAATTAAAGTCTAGCTTTAACTAGCTAAAGTTGTTTTGTCTCAATATTTTTTACTAACTAGTTGGATTTTACTAAAATAATTATTCCTCTCGCCCTCATGGCCTCTGAGTCAATGGCCCATTTGGCCTTTGGCCTCATGGGCTATTGACTCAGAGCCCATTCGGGCTCGAGGAATAATAATTGTTAAATACTGGGACTGCGTTGAAAGCTTGTTTATTGATAGTTATAAACAGGACATTTACACCCCTATTTGTGTCATTTTTGGTTTATCTTCATACGTTCCGCCATTTTGGTTAACAGACTTTGTATTCAATTTAACTGCTCATTCTTACCCTTTTCATCCCTTTTCTACCTTGGAGACCACTTCTCAAACGAAAAAAAAGAAAAGAGAAAAGAGAGAAAAACGTAAGGTTTGGGGATTTTGATTAGTATACGAAGTGCGCGACCATCTATGAGGGGGTTCGGAGGTCAATTCCCTGGTGCTCTATATCTTGGCAACGACTTCAAAATTAGCTGTAATGAGAGAGAAATTTGCAATTTTAAGCTACGAAGGGTAATAATGTGAATATGGCAGGCTGAAATATTTCCTTTTTCACTTTTAATTAATACAAAACTGAAAGGCTGATTTTCTTGCCCGTTCAGCATCGAGCATTTTAGTGTTAGGCTAATATTTAGGTATGGATTATTATTAGATGTCCAGCCATCTCTTCGCGGGAAGGACTAAGAGAGTGGCGGAAATCAAGCCTACATGTATCCTATACTCTGAAGAAAGTGAATCGAAAAAGGCAATTAATATAATCATAGCTGGTTATGAGTTAATGATACCCAAGCCCTGGCATTTTTAACATGTTAAAACTGACATATGAGATTAATTTGAGGTGCAAAATACCAAAGATATGTAACAATGTAAGTTGTATATAAAAGAGTGTATACAATATTTGAGCCAGCAAGGCAGACGTTGCGAGGCATGAACAGACTATTTGAGGCAGTTGAACAAAACATATAAGCTTTGACGCCCCACGCAAATGGATGCAACATTGTTAGCCAACAGCTCCCAACATTATTGGATGTGTCAGTGCACAAGTTGCCTCCATTTGCACACCCTGTTGCATGTTATTGGGAGTAGTTGCGCAAAGTTAGATCTGTTTGCACGGCTCTTCAAACTTTTTGGGGGCCACACACACACATTACACATGGTCCTCTTTGAGTTTACAATGTCTTATGGGTTGTACCCTTCTCACAATTCACTACAAGTCCCAATATTGTTGGGAGTTGTTGCATCCGTTTGCACACAGCTGCCAACACTGATGCAACAACTCCCAACATTGCTGGCTCATTTAATCCATGATAAGCAGTCTTGTCAAGAAGCTGATCTATGTATTAAAATTGTTGCAAGTTACCGCTGGCAATATTCACTCTTTTCGGATCCATAGTAAAGAAATGCTTCGGATCATGTATCCAAATAGCCTGTTCACAGACCCTCTATTTTCTCTTCAAATTATGTCGAGCACGCAAGATAAAAAATAAACCGTGGGCGATTTATTGACTGCCAGCACAAAGGGGTAGGGGTGGGGGAAGGCTACGAGCAGTCTCTTTTTTTTCTTGGTCCGTCGAGCAAAACGCCCGAGACACGCAAATGACCACGCGCGTGGCTAAAGGCGCGAGACGGGAGGCGCCCTCGTTTCTCGTGTATCGCGGCGAAAGCCGCTCGACGCTCGCGCGTGCGTGCGGTCTAGGGTGGGGGAAGAAGAAAATAGACGATTTATTTTTCTTTCTCGCGCACGCCGATGTTTTCCAAAACAACGAAAAGAAAAATAAATCAACGTCTGTGTACCGGCTAGTATCCAAAGTATCCGGTTTTGAATATGATCCAAAGAATCCTCCTTCGTTGTGGATCATTTGGGTCAATAATCCGTTTTTGGATTAAAAAACCGGATTTCGATTTTAGTAAAGAAACACAACCTTATTCTATTTCAGTTTACCTTTTAACTTACGGCAAAACATCAGAATACCCGGCCACTAAAATATTCCTCATCATATTGTGCTACCGCGGTCCGTGGTGACGAGTATTCTGAAGTTGCTCCAAACTGACTTCACCTACCTAAAACGACCAGATGAGCTTTATCTACTCTTCCCGTTCCATTCTAACAGCTGATTCTAAAGATCCACAGTCAGCTAGTTAACATCAGCTTTACCTGCAGCTAAAAAATGGCCGAGATATTGCCCGGATAATGCTGTAATAAATACCTACAGACCCTTTTCTTTATGAAGTCTGACCAAAGGAAGAACCAAGGCATCACTACTGTCAATTTCGTGTTTTTCTATGAATTATAATACTACTTATTGGCGTAAAATTCGTAACGACACATGCTATTCGTATGTTCTCATGAGCTTGTTGTTGTTTTGGAGAATGACGTCAGTTTGACCCAGCAGACCTTTCGCGCGATGTAAAACTGCTGATTTTGCATTTTGGGCAGAACAGAAAGTTCGAGAAACGTCTCGTTTTTTCACGAAAAAACCAAAAGAACTATATTTTTGTCCAGTCAGATTTTGTCAGGATGAATCAGCTACCAGTCATCTGACAAATTATTTAATTTTAGGAACGATCGACGGTTCGAGAAGAAATTTTTTTATTATAAAAGGCATGGATTTTGGCTCACCAACCATCAGTTAAAAAAACCCCAGAAGACTCAAGGTATCGCTGAAGATTTTCAAGAAGTAAAATTACAACTAAAGTTCTCGACAGTATGGCCCTCGTTTTCAGATTTCCAACATATCATCCAACTTGGTAAGCTTTTCGAAATTATTTTTCTTCTCTACAAAGAGTCAATTACGACTTTGAATAATTATTTTCTGTATAAAATCTCAACTTTATTTTTTAACAAACTACTCTTTCGCCTGCATGCTTCGATTGATTCGTATGGTGTGCTACAAGTTTTTTGGTTTTTTAAAATTCGCTGTCGTCCCCATGATCAGGCGGGAATATCATGTTTTGTCAGGATCTTCTGTTACTTTGTTTTTATATTTTTAGGTTCATTTTCCCTTTTAAGATATTCAGTCTTATATGTTTACATAATTGATCAATACATCAGTTAAGCAATAGGACAGCCATAGAGTATCAAAAGCCTATTCTGGAGACTTGATCAGCAACAGTTTCAGGCGGTTCGAAAACATTTGCAGATATACATATCAGGCACATTATAGTATCATTAGCTTTTCACACCAGTCTAGGGTTGTCTGGCTATGCATTAAAGCTATTAACAGATTAAAGCTTTTTTTAGCTGTGTAACTATCGACAATATTTTTGTGAGATCACAACATGTTATAAAATAGTTAAGTCATTAGTTAAGGGTCAATAAAAATTGGAAAATCAGGAGACTGACTTTGTTTTCACTTTTACCGTTCACTCTGGCCCTTTTCAGCACTTTTCCTGTTTCAGAGACGACATCTTAAAACAAAAAGTCATAGAAAAAAAAAAAAAAAATCCAAATAAGAAGGATTGGGGCAGTTGGTTAGTGCACGGCCCAGGTTCTGAGTTCAATAGAACATTTTACGGTTTTTTCAACTTTAATTTTGACATGAAACAGTAAGGGAAAATCTGTTGACACTACTGGA